AGTGCTGTTTTTTTGCACAGACATAATTTATTAAACGATTTAGCCGATGGCTATTATAAAAACTCGATTCGCAATAATTTCGAACGATATTCTTAAGTTTAAAATGCAGATGGTAACAATTTTTACATACATATATGTATATATGTAAATTGTAGTCAATGCAGGTAGATACATGGAAAACCAAAGATTGTCAAACTGTGGGAAACATAGTTATATTGTGTATATTAAGTAGTTAAAAATCATATTTAAAACTATTGGAAAAAAATATAGAATTTTAACAAAATTATTGCAAAACAAATATATATTTTTGAACAAAAAAAACACTTCCAAAATTACTGCAAAACTAATTATTTATGTAAATGTGTATTAGACAAAATTATAGCTTACAAAATTCAGCACAAATTTACTTTATATATTATTTACCTAAAATTAATACTTTAGATAATATAACATCCTGAATTTTTTTTCCTTTACATTTTAACAATCTATGTATATCTATTTTGTCCTTTACACAGTTTTTTTCAAATATTTCGAAAACCGATAAAAATATCAAAAAGTTGTAAAGTGCAAAGTTGTAGCTAAAAAAATTCTTTACAAAATCGCCTTTTACACAAGTTTTGTGAAATAAGTAGTTTTGAAGATATAACGTGACAAATTTATGCTTTTTATATAGTCAAGACGAAAGTGCACTTTCGAACAAGTAAATTTTTTTCACTTTTTTAGAAATATCTGAAAAACTATAAAACTTATTCGAATAGTATATTATTGTAGCTTATGAAATTTCTTACAAAACTGTTATATATATATATATATATATATATATATATATATATATATATATAGTTACTCTAAAATAAGTAGTTTCGAAGCAATTATTACTTTTAAATCCAACTTGAAAATAGTACATATAACCCACATAATAAACTATAAATTGCATTGTAACTATTTAATTATTATTTAAAATATACCAAGTTGCTGTAGAGTATTTTGTTGTTAGACAAAGTTGTAGATAATTTATTTCTGTACAAATTTGCCGAATGTTTCATTCATTTTAGACCATTAATTTAAAAGATACCGATTATATAAGAAACAAGTGATGTAATTCGTTTAATTACTAGTCTTGGATTGTTTGCATGTTTTCAAATGTTATTTTAAAGTATACTGAGTTGCTGCAGAGTTTATAATATTAAACAACATCATAGATTATTTAATTTTGAACAAATTTGTCAGATATTAAGTTGTCAAATATCTCCCTTCCGCTTTTTTGCTCTTGGTTTATGATACAAAAAGGCGGAAGGGAGATATTTGACAACCTTATATTTTACATATTTTAGACGAACAGTTTAGTTTAGACAAATGATATGCCTAAATATTTTTCACACATGATTTCATCCTTCATCCAGGTATCAATATACCTGTCTATAGACAGATTGTTCTTTCACCTTGAATTTTCTCTTTTTAAATGAACTACTACCTGAACCACATTTTTTTAACATGTGTCAATAAAAAAAAAGATAAAATGCATTTGTGTTTGTGTGAAAACGGCCATGTGTTTTAGTAATTGATATTAATGGCAACATGATGTGAAGTTTTGGGCGTATTATGTTCTAAAATATTTGGTTTAGAAGAATTTTGTAAAAGAAAAATGTGTAAAGAATTTTATTAGCTACATTTTTGTCTATTGCACTTTTGGTGTAAGTTTTCTGGTTTTGGTGTAAGTTTTCTGGTTTTTGTAAAATTTTGGAGTAAGTAAAAAAAAATTACTTCAAAAAGTACCAATAAATTCACGATGAATAAGTACGTACATATTTTCTATATATTTTATAAGTTATAATTTTGTCTAATACACTTTCGGTATATTTTTCCTGGTTTTTGCAACATTTTGGAAAGAGTGAAATAATGCACCTAATGCAATCCCTTGTAACTTTTAAACTATTAGCTTAATTTCAATGAAATATTCGGCAAATTTGTTCAAAATTAAATTATCTACAACTTTGTCTAACAACAAAATTTTCCACAGCAACTCGGTATACTTAAAAATTAATATTGAACAACGTTGTTATTTGAACACCTCATTAATGCATTACCTATTTTTATTTATTTATTTATTATTATTATTGTTATTTTTTTTCATTTATTTCTGTGATTATTATTATTATTATTATTATGTGTAATTTAGCCATATAACTCATAGGGTATGTAAATAACTCTGATTGTTATATAATATGAAAATAAAAAAAAATTAAAAAAAATTAATGCATTACTTTTGTATATTTAACATAACTCTTAAATCACTCGATTAATGTAAATGATTTATTTATATGATTTGTTTGAAATTGAATAATAAACAATATTTTCTAACAACAAAATACTCTACAACAACTCGGTATACTTATAAATTGCGATCAAAGGAAGTCCATATAAGTCTTTGCAATTAATTAATCACCAAGCCAAATTAGGAATTCTTTAAAAATTTGCTAATTAGCATTCGGACGTTTTTTTTACGTTGACAGAATAATTATAATTGAATTTTATTTATTTAATTTAGGCCCTACTAAATTGTAATTGTAAAAATACTCGACTTGGGAAAAAAATTTGGGCGAAAAAAATTGGGTATATTTTTCAGATTTTTGCAAATATTTCGATTATTTTTTTTTGATTTATTATTCATAGCAAGCTTATTTATTATTTCAAGATCTGATTGTAATATTTAAAAAATACATTAGATAAAATTGTAGCTTATAAAATTTTGAATAATATTGCCTTTCACATATAAATGATAAAATAAACAATTTTCAAGAAATTACTAAATTTAAATGGACATTGATAAAAAAAACGTATTTAAATTGGGGGGTGCATTTTTTCGGCTTATCGCAAATATTAGGTTGTCAAATATCTCCTTCCGCCTTTTTGTATGTAACCAAGAACAAAAAAGCGGAAGGGAGATATTTGACAACCTAATATTTCAAAAACCCGTTAAAATACATTAAAAACATATTAGACAAAATTAAAGCTTATAAAATTCTTTATATGAATGTCTTTTATATAAATACTCTAAAATAAACAGTTTTGAAGATATGACCAACTTTAATGCACTTTAACCGTAACCTAAAAAATAAATAATTCTATGTCAATAAAAAATTAGGTGCATTTTTTCAGTTGTTTTTGCAAATTGTTCAAAAACCGAGTGTAATACATAAAAAATATATTAGACAAAGTTGTAGCTTATATAATTTTGAATAAAACTGCCTTTTACCTTATAAATGTAAAATGAACAGTTTTGGAGATACGACTAAATTTATATTACAAATACTACAAATTAACGAGTTTTAAAGATACGGCAGATGTTAGTCGCAATAAAAAGTTAAGTGCATTCTTTCAGTTTTTTGCAAATTGTGTAAAAATTGGTAAAAATACACAAAAACCATATTAGACAAAGTTGTTGCTTATAAAATCCTGAACAAAACTGCCTTTTACACTATAAAAGTAAAATAAACAGTTTTGTAGATATAATTAATTTTATAGATATATTAATTTATTTTTTTATTTAATAACACCAAAGGTGGTATGTGCTATAAATGCTAGTAGCAACATAGTACACGCGCCACCATCGAGCACATTTCTTTAGTTTTTTGCAAATATGTCAAGAATCGGTAAAAATACTTGAAAATCATACTAGACAAAGTTTTAGCTTATGAAATTCTAAATAAAACCTTCTTTTACACAAACACTCTAAAATAAGTAGTTTTTAAGATAAGACCGATGTTATTCCAATATTGGTACAGACATATTGTACAGCTTATATGAAACCTATATTGAAAAATATATGTGAAGACAATGTTTTGATAAAAACAAACAAATTGTGCACATTGTATAAAAATATAAGCGTTGATATGAAAAATTAACATTTACCAGTTTGTAATAAATTTATAACAATCAAAATGTATTAAATATATTTATATTATAAACCAGCAAACCCGACGAACTCCGTTTCGCCACCAGATGGTTTCGTGAGAAAGATGAAGAAATTTTTTGTTTGTTTTATATTTCAAAAGGAAAAAAATGATTCTATTATACAACAGTAATGAATTTATTTCGATTACAAAAATGAATTGTTTTTGAGTTGAACTTCTCTAAGTAAATGAAAGTGAATCCGCAAATTATCCGTTTCATTGAAGTGCTCTTTGGTAAACCACATTTTTTGTTTTCTGGTCTGACGTTAACACAAACAAAGCGGATGGTTTTCCAACTCGTGAACAGGCAACGTATAACTGCCCATGTGAAAAACAATGATTTTCTAAATAATCTATTTGAAATTTATCCCGCAAACACTAAGCGATTGGCCTTGCGACTTGTTATTGCGAACGCAAAAAAATTGCAATTGTTTGAAGTCAAACGGAAGACCAGTCGGAATCATTGGTATGTCACCAAATCGCCAGCAATTTTTGATTGAATTGTGAAATTCAGTGCGTGTACATCATTATTCTTTGCGGCAAGAATTGCTCGTTGACTTAACCAAGAATAATTCTGATAATTCTCACTAATGTCATTACTCAAATTTTTAATTACGGTAATAAATAAAATTTCTGAATAATGAAATAATACTAGAAAAACAATAAAATATAACAAAATAACAATATTAGAAATAATAAGATAATAATATTGAAATTCCAGCAATTTGCATTAGGGCACGATGCCATGCACCACTAATTTTCTTAGCTATAAACCTTATAAATCGGTTCGTGTGTTCTGGAGTTATTTCGTCAGGAAGGAAAATCCGACTTATTTTTATATATATAAAAGAATAATAAAATAATATAATAAATGAGAATTGTGTGTACACCTTGTATACACATTGAGAGTAAAAATCTCCGACACACCTTTAACAGGTGTAAACTTTCTTCAAGTATTTGATATACTAAAATTTTATAACATATATATATATATATATATATATATATATATGTATATAAATAATTTTTTTTATTATTTCTACTTACATTAGTTACAGCCAGCAGTCCAATATAAAAAGCCAATACACCGAACGCGTACGGCATGGTCGTCGTCACTTTCAAAGCAACAAATGCACCACTGGAATTTATTTATTTATTTATTCAACACCAAAAACAAAGTCCTTTATTCTTTATTACACCCACTAAAGCACACACTTTAATAAATCGATTACCAATAATTTTTATAATTTTATTTATTACTTTTATTCAAAGAACTTACAAGAGAAGAGAGGTTCGTTCTGCGTATTCTGTTCTGGCCGGAGCGCAGCGCACAGTGACGGAGCGTTGAGTCGGGTCAGAGAGAGACGGGGAGAGCCGAAGGCGACGTCTTCGACCGGCGAGAGAGGGATGCAAGATCAGGAATTTAGGCGAGGGCGGCTGGAAGGGGCAAGAGGAGGGGAGGTTGTGCGCATGCGTATACAGGTGAGTCGGTTAAGGCTGCGTTTATAAGGGATATGGAGAAGGAATAGGTGTAAGTGGTATTGTGCCTTAAGGCGAATTGCTGGAACTTCCCGTACCGTAATGGGATATTCGAGAAATTTTAAACGTTTTCAAATATATTATTACAAATACTCTGTAACTTTCATTATTTTTGCTATCTTGTTTGTTATATCTGAGCAAATCAAATGTAAATTATAAGGCTGCGTTTATAAGGGACATAGAGGAAAAAGGCTAGGTGTAAGTGGTATTGTGCCTTAAAGCAAGATGTATTTTTAACTTTCCGAAGGAGAAGTTTATGTCATTCTGAATCAAATGAGACCAAATTTGGAAAAAGTATGTGTGTGTGTATGAATAAATGGACGTTTTCTTTAAAACGGCTAGACCGATTTTAAAAATTCAAAAGCTTTTCGATGTATCGCGATTAGGACTAGCGTTTATCAATTTTGCGCGACGATCAGCCAAGCCGTTTCTTTGCAAATAGCAAAAAAGTGAAAAAGAATTCGTCCACTTTTTAGCCCGCAATTCTGAATCGATTTTGGAAATAAACTAGTGGTGTATGGCATCATGCCTTAAGGCAAATTGCCCGTACCGTAATGAAATATTCGAGAAATTTTAAACGTTTTCAAATATATTATTATTACATTATTTTTGCTATCTTGTTATATCTGAGCAAATCAAATGTAAATTATAAGGCTGCGTTTATAAGAGACATAGAGGAATAAGGCTAGGTGTAAGTGGTATTGTGCCTTAAGGCAAGATGTATTTTTTCCCCCATGATAGTTTTTGAGTATGAATTTCTAGCAGTTCTAGTTTTTTAAATATACCAATGTAGTAGTTTTACCTCATATTACTATAACTAGTGGTGTATGGCATCGTGCCTTAAGTCAAATTGCTGGAACTTCCCGTACCGTAATGAAATATTCGAGAAATTTTAAACGTTTTCAAATATAATATTACAAATACTGTAACTTTCATTATTTTTGCTATCTTATTATATATGAGCAAATCAAATGTAAATCATAAATCAATTTAGCACCAGAGCATTAACAATCGTCATTTCATTTCGAATTCAATTTAAAAAAAAAATAGTTGCCTAATTTGCACAAAATTGAAAAAGTGCTCGCGTATAGTTACAGTCTAAATGCATTTGCAAACAATTCTGTGCGACATTTTCACTTATACTGTGCTTAGCTTGGCGGCATTTTCACATTTTTCAATAGTTTTCACAAAATTCGTATTGGAAAAATGTTCCAGTACTTACACAGTCTAAACGCACTTGGGTAAACATTTGTACCAGGGTGGCGCTTAGACTGTGCTTAGTCTTGGTAATTTTTTGAATTTTTAATTCAAAATTACAACAATATTTTATGGAAAATAAAAAAAGATGTAATAATTTTTTATCCTCAAAAGCAATTGTTTTGACAATACAAGCAGAAAGTTTTTGAGATCATTCAAATCGGACGCTTAGTTCACTCAAAAACTGACATTTTTTGCACATTTAGCTCTGTATCTTCGAAATGGCGGGACCTGTCTTTGCCAAAAACTAATCACCACTTCTCTCAATCATTACAAATTGAATGTTTTTTAGATTATTCAAATCCGATACTCCTTTCTCTCAAAAACTCGATTTGTATTTTCTGCACTCTTTGCTCCGTATCTCCGTAACGGCTGGACCTGCCTTCGCCAAAAACTAATCAGCACGTCTCCATATCAATAGGGATCGAATGTTTTTTAAACCATTCAAATCGGTTGATCCGTGCGCTCAAAAACGTGGATGAAAAAATGCGGACATACGAGGTCTGTTCAAAAAGTACCCGGAATTTTCGTTTTTTCAAAAAAATATTTATTTATTCGTCTACATTAATGTGGTCCCCTTCAAAGTAGTCCCCCCCAGATATAATACACTTATGCCAGCGTTTTTTCCAATTTTCGAAGCACCCTTGATATTCACTTTTTGATATGTCCTTGAGCACTCTCAGCGATTCGGCCTTTATTTCTTCAATCGAGGAAAACCGCCGTCCTTTCATGGGTCTCTTCAACTTTGGGAATAGGAAAAAGTCACACGGAGCCATATCTGGTGAATTTTTGCACTTTGCAACACTTTATTTCATTTTTTACGCAAAATTTAATACAAATTCTTTGACTTTTCAATTCTTCCATTGTAAAAATCGCCGAGCTCAGAAAAAACACGTCGAACCTTAGCGACTACCACAGACAAAGTAAACAGTGAATATAGCTGAAAATTTCATCATACTTTAGGGGCATGTATACCAACACAATGAAAAAAAATTTTGACAATCAGACACTCCAGACCCGCGAAATTTAATTATTAGTAATTCCGGGTACTTTTTGAACACACCTCGTACATACATACACACACACATCCATTTTTCTGAGGTATGCCAGTAAAATGTTCAGAAACCTTCAAAACGTCGAGAAATGCAAAAATTCAGGAAAATTGCTGAAGTAAAACTCTTGATCTTTTCTAAATGTTTATTGCACGTGTCTATAAATTATATATATATATATATATATATATATATATATATATATTTAATGTTTTTATAAAAGTGCTTTTAGTGTCTTTTTAAAAATACAAAACCCCTTAAATTATTAAATAGTTTTAGTTATTAATAAGACATTTTGGTGCAAAAAAATTTAGAAAATTAGATCAAACCAATACAATATAATGTCACATTTACTATATATTGTTTACTAATATAATATGATGCAATTATTACCTTTTATCTTGTAATATTTTAATATTATTATATAATAAAATCGATAATTATCAATAGGTATAAATCTAACAATTCAAATAATTACCTAAAATCGTTTTAAATCCAAATAAAACGATGCTTTTTATAATTTCTTGGTAAAGAAATTTTTAAAGCACTTGATAACGTCTTCACAACTTTTCTGAAAATGAAAAATATATTATACATTAAATATTATAAATAATAAATAATTAAGTAATAATATAATATAATATATAATTTGTTAAGTCTAAAATTGCAAATCGAATATGCAAGATGGTTACATTTTTTTACTTTTGGCTCTATAGTCTTAAATTTTGTGAGAATACTCCCCTGTTATTATATATCAATAAAAAGATAATAAAATTTACTATCAGTCTGTATATAATAGTTAATAACATTTGGAACAAAATATTACAAACTTATATACAAAATTATAAACTCGATATACTTTAAAACAGATCAAACTGCAACATATTTTTTCTGTAACTTCTAAACCGTTTGTCCAAATCAAATCAAATATTCTACAAATTTGTTCTAAATTAAATAATCTATGACCCTACATCAACTCGGTATACTTTGTAGAGGAAAATTTCGTTGTGAACGCGTCGGAAATTCGTGGAAATCCGTTTTCCATTGCGCATAGGGGTGCGCGCAGGCGATCGATTCTCGACTTTGGTATTTCTTTGCACGACGACGACCCCTTCCGAATATAAATATATATATATATATATATATATATGTATATATATATCTGTATATATATATATATATATATATATATATATTCGATCTATGCGCAAAACAACCCCCGAACACACAATTGCGTACAGGGTAGAATGTTCTCTAAAGTACGCATACATTTAAATCGAAAACATACTTATGGACTACGCCACTGCACGATCCTATCTATGACGATTTTAGAAAGGGCGCTGAAGGAAAATATATGCCTCAATAAATTTTCTGTCAAAATTTCACTTTCCTATTTGTATTAATACGTCCTGGAGAGCTCTTCAAACATGACAGTATAAAATATGTTATACGTATAGTACTTGGTCAAGAAAAGTATTTAAATTCTATACTAGGACTAAAAATTAATAAAAATGTAGTACTACATTTTAAAGTATATAGTTTAAGTATATTTCTTGCAAAATTTTAGAATTGTGTTTATATAAATACGTCCTGCAGAGCTCATCAAACATGAGAGTATTTGTCATGTAAAATATTTTATACGTTTAGTACTTGGTCAGGAAAGTTATTTAAATTCAATACTAGGACTGAAAATTAAATAAAATGTAGTACTACATATTGAAGTATATAGTTTAGGTATATTTCCTGCAAAATTTTAGAACTCTGTTTATATAAATACGTCCTGCAGAGCTTGTCAAATATGAGAGTATTCCTGATCTAAAATTTTTTATACGTTCAGTACCTGTTGTGAAAAAGTATTTAAATTCAATACTAGGACTGAAAATTAAATAAAATGTAGTACTACATATTGAAGTATATAGTTTAAGTATATTTACTGCAAAATTTCAAGATTCTCTTTATATAAATACGTCCTGCAGAGCTCTTCAAATATGAGAGTTTTTTATCTAAAATATTTTATATGTTTAGTACTTGGTCAAGAAAAGTATTTAAATTCAATACTAGGACTGAAAATTATATGAAATGTAGTACTACATATTGAAATACATACTGTAGTTATTTTGTCTTTAAAGTTTCATTATCCTAGTGTAAATAATACGTTCTGAAGAGCTCTTCAAACATGATAAGATTGTTCTATGGTATTGTTCATATAACATATTATGTAGGTTTAGTACTTGTTACAGAAATGTATTAAAATTCAATACTATTACTAGAAATTAAAAAAATGTAGTACTACATATTAAAGTACATACCTTAATCATATTTTCTTTTAAGTTTCATTATGCTATGATAATTAATACGTCCTGCAGAGCTCTTTAAAAGTTAGAATAAAAGTGTATAAAAGGAACCAAGGCTTCATATACAGTTTGCTAATTTGAAC